CTACAGCTGATCAGGGCTCAGGGTGGAAGAGAACTCCTTGAAGCTTCGATATTCCTGATCTTCAATCCCTCAATCCCAACGTCCTACTGTTGATGATATAAATCCTGCATTACCTTAAGGACCCTAAACTATGGGAATTATGGTGTGTTTCTTCTTGTGGGCAATGCAGGATTTGTATCATCAGCCGTCGTAAGGCCCTCATGGCCCACAGTCTCAACAGTCACCAAAGCCAATATGCTCTCAAGTACAAAGTGTAGTTTTGATGGTGCCGGATGTAGGACAGGGCAGGACCACGCGAGTGTTGTGTGACACGCACGTGTACACCGGGAGGGTTCTACAAAGGGATTCCATAATACGATAGCCCTAAACCCTAAACCGTATGAAGGTGACGGAGAGGTCTGGGTGTTTTCGTTTTGATGAGTTCCTACATACTTAGGGTGGAACGTACCCGCAAAACAATAGGACAATTCTCAAGACCCCTATGCTAAACCTTTGAAAAGCTCCATGAAAATCGGACATTCTGTCAAGCCCTTGAATACCCTAGACTGATGACTCTGCCGCCTATAGTACACATTCCGTCCCCCGAATCCCTAAACCCTATAAACCCTAAACCCTATATAAACCCTAAACCCTATATAAACCCTAAACCCTATATAAACCCTAAACCCTATAAACCCTAAACCCTATAAACCCTAAACAATATATAAACCCTAAACCCTATATCAACCCTAAACCCTATATAAACCCGAAACCCTATAAACCCTAAACCCTATAAACCCTAAACCATACTGAAAGCACGAAGCAGGCATCCTTGGCTTGGCGTTTCCTTCGCTCTCCTTTGGGGGCATTGAGCCCTTCTTCGACCTCTGGCAAGTGATTGTAGTGGTTTAGGGTTTAGGATTTCGGGATTGGGTTTAGGGTTTAGGGTTTAGGGTTTAGGGGGGATTGGGCCTTGATCTGCTTCTTTCGGCGCTTGGGGTTTTGTTTCGGCCTAGCACCCCTTCTGCAAGCTGCTAGAGTATGGGCACTGTTCAAAGGCTATCCCAGTTTAAAAGCGTAAACCCATAAGCCACTAAGCAGCTAGACCCTCAGAGGGTGTAGGTTGCCGCGGTGGCATTCGCTGAGTGTTAGGCTCCGGGGGTTTAGGGCGTAGGGAAGAGTTGGGTTTAGGGTCCAGGGCCTTGGGTTGGGCTGATCGGTTTCTGGGGATGTAGGATCCCACGCTCCAAACTTTGACATGTGCTGAGATGCCCACAGTGAACAACCTGCCCGTGGGTACTAGGGCTCCTTCACGGGTACCTCTATGGTATAGCGGCTTTGACAGATAGAATACAGTAAGGTTTTGGAGTACATTCCACCATACGTAAGCAAAAAGCCCTACAAAATAATGCTGGTAACTGTTCAGGCCCCGAAATCAGGTTGAGGATCTTTGGTACTCGGGCCCGAACGTCGGGGCTTTAGTGTTGGCTTTGCTCCGTCTTGGTATGACTACTTATAGTCTCCATCGTAGTTCCTGTTTTGGGTTGCCTTATAGGATCCTAAATCCTAAGTCTCAAAAAGGTTAAACCACAACAAGGAACTACAATGGAGACTATAGGTACTGTTTGCTCGACTTCAGCAAATCAAAGACCTGAGATGCAGAACCTTGCAGAGCTCTGTTTAAAATCCAATACAGATCTCTACAGCAGGCCTTACATACACCGTGCAAGTCCCGATTCCCCAAATAACAAGCATAAACCCCTGAACCCTAAACCCTAAGCCCCTGAACCCTAAACCCTAAACCGGAATCCTAAGTTGACGGCAAATCCGAGCGGCGCAGATGTATGCTGCGAAGCTACTGCAATCCGGCCTAGTACTGCAAGATATTGACGATAGGGTTCAGGGTTTGCTTCGGGTCTAGCAACGGTGTCTGAACGAACTTGGTGACTTGATGCCGGTGATGATGCAGTGACGAACCCTAAACCCCTAAACTTTAGAGTGGCGAGACGGGAAGTGATGCAGGCTCGTTGGTGGCGGCGGGTTCGGCAGATGGTCTCCCCGTGGCAATATGCCTCAATAACAATAACAACAGTCGTCGTCATCATCATATAATGCTAATGATAGGCGACATTGTCCCCACCTTGACTCCTATAGTCCTCTAGTGGCTGTCGCAGTAAGAGCCAAATCGTGCTAGTGCTCGTCATTGTGCTTGAAACTCGTGCAGTTCGATGTCTCTGCCGCGCCTGACACTGCAAAGAATTAAGGAGCGCGTCATCAGGAAGAAGCGTCGCCGACATGTGAGCTCGGTGAGGACTTAGGCTGTATAGTTGATGTCAAGACAGGGGGCCTTCTTGCTTAGAAGGGTGAGGGTAGGTCCTTGGCCCACGATATTGCCCGAATGAGTAAGTCATACGAAACCTAAAAATCTGACAACGACGAAGCCAACCCCGAAACGCCAAAATGGGTAGTTCTCTAAACTAGGGTCCTTTTCAGGGTCCGTTGTATAGTGGTCCTGTACTATCTTGGGACCTGAACAGGGACCCTAACTTAGAGAACTACCCAAATAGGAAAGTCCCCGAGTCCCGCCAGCATAGAACTGCATAGTAGTTTAGGGTTTGGGGGTTTAGGGAGTTAGGGTTTTTGGGTTTTTGGGTGTGTTACCGAAACCCCAAAATTCCCTACGTCCTGGCGAGCGGTTCCAAGCTTCGGATATAAGAAATTATTGAGCTTGCAAATTAGATGCTTGGGGTTTAGCGTTTTGGGTTTAGGTAGTTGGATTGTATTTGTACCTCCACCACCATTATTGCTACTGCTAATAATTCTACAGCCAAGTACTGCTACTGATACTGCTACTGCTACTACGACGACAACAACGACAACGACGTCGACTACTACTTCTTCTGCTACGACGACCAAGACGGCGACGAGGATTCCGAGGACAACGACGTCACCTGCGTAGGTTTCAGGGAATGCTGCCGGACAACAAACAACTCATCGAGGCTTCTACAGAGGCCTGAAACAAAACTTTGTCATGATATGGCATTTGTAGTCCTGTAGATAATTCAGCCCTGAACCCTAAACCGTAAAGTTTGCCTCAAAGGCTGTTCTACTCATTCATGCTATGCCCGGCCTTCGGCCTTCAGCAAAGCACAGGTCAAGGCTGAGGCTCCGAGTACCCAGCTAGTAGGGTTTAGGCTGTCGAGTGTAGGTCCCATAGGTTCTATTATAGTGCTTTAGGGGTTTAGGGTTTAGCGATTTAGGGTTGAGGGTTAAGGGTTTAGGGAGCCCTAAACTCTAAACCCTAAACCCCTACATCCACAACCCTGCCAGTCAGGTTCACGGACCCTTGCTCCCGAACACCAGGCGCGAAACCCTAAACCCAAACCCTGATCATGATCGCAACCCCTAGTCTGCCTAAATCCTAAACCCTGAACCCTAAACCCTAAACCTGATCCCTAAACCCTGAACCCTAAACCTGAACCCTAAACCCTAAACCCTGCTAGCCTTGCTGCAAGATCGATCGCCAGGCTGCTCAAGAACAATGAGTTTGCCTTCTACCTCAACGCAGAAAGCACCTGGCTCAAATTTAGCACTGATACCCTACAGCCTCAGCTCCAAACCACAAACCCCAAGCCCCACACACTAAAACCCTACACCTCAAAATCCCCAAACCCCTAAACCCATAGCCCTGAAGCCCCAAATCCAGTTGACTTGCTTGGGTGCACTTCTCTAAATTAGGGTCCCTGTCTATGTCAAACTAGTACGGCACCCTTATGAAAAGCATCTTAAAACGGACCCCTAAAGCTGTACGGAACCCTTATAGAACCCTTATAGAAGCCCAATAGAAACCCTTGTAGATCCCTTTAAGGAACCTTGAAAGAGACTGGGATTTAGAGAACATCCCACATGGAGAGTCGGGAGAGGACAGATACGTCACCTCGAATTCCCTTAACAGCAGCTGTCCTGTTGAGGCCGGTATGTATTATATATGCAATACACGTGCATGCTTTGCACGTCTTCAGAGCTTGCCCGCGACCGAATTATAATGCAATCTGTGCGTATGTTCGTAACTGTTTTTTATAGTATATAATCTTAGATTACATAAAGTCATTTTAAAGTATCTTAGTTCATAATATGACAATTTAAACTGAACTGTTTTGTATTGTATTTTGTCACAGCAACTTGAAATATTATCACGGATAGACTACACTATAGTATAACATAACATAAGACAAGATATCATGAGTCAACATAGCTATAGCTTAAGGAATATTAATCACCATATGGCATAGTGCAATACGGTATAACACATATCATATTATTTAACTACACTAAACTATGTTGTAATGAATTACAATTTATCGTTGTATCAACTATCTAGTCTAGTCTGTTCTATTTTCATCTTACCTTATTTGATCTTGTGTTATATTCTGTTACAATATAAACCATTGCATTCGTACATTCACAAACTGACATATATACAATAGTATACGGCTTATATGGTAGGTCCGAGGCCTTGCAGACCTTGCTTGAGACGCCTGAGGCTCGCAACCGAGTGCGCTGCTCTGGGGTGGCGTAGACAAGGCTCTGTCCAGGATTGCCCGGTTTAGGGGTGTATTGTGTAAGGCAGTTATAAGTGGGGTGTGGGCTTTGGGTTTAAGGTAGCGATAAGTGGGGTTAGGGTTTAGGGTGTAGGGTAGTTGTAAGTGGGGTTAGTGTTTAGGGTTTAGGGTAGCTGTAAGTGGCCTTAGGGTTTAGGGTTTAGAGTACGTAGTTTTTTGTTCTGTTAGAAGTTGGCTTTGGGGTTGGGGGTTGAGGGAGTCGAGGCCTGGGGTTAGGGGTTAGAGGTCAGGGTCTAGGCTAGGGCTTCATGGCTTTCCGCCTTAAAGGTCTAGGATTAGAGGGTTTCTAGGGGCTTAGCCCAGACAAGCAGCCCAACAAATGTCCGCTCAATGGCAGGAGTTTAATAGGACCCCTAAGCCCTGGACCCTAAACAGGGCCTCTACGAGGGAAGCATCGTCATGGTCCCCGTGGCGCTGCCGCACTATTGGGCGCTGGAGTTGGTCGACTTCAGGAGGGGGTCCGATTTCGGGCTGTGAGGGTTTAGGGTTTCGCGTCTGTGGCAGTTTATGGTTTACCGCTTTAGGTTTCAGGGTGCGGGGTGGTTTATGTTTTGTCCTAGGTGTGTGCTAGGATTTTCTTGTTCTTAGTGTGATGCAGGGTCGATGTTTGAGTAACCAATACATAAGCCCAGGCCCAGCCTAAATACAGCATTACCCCCCGATAGATGGTTTAAGCAATGTTCGCTGTGGGCCGAAAGCAGTTTCAGCAGAGAGTCCTGGAATATCGTGTCCTTTTTTGGAGGATTGCTGTTGAAGACATACCCGAAGACGGGTTAAGGATGTTCGGTTCGTTGTCAAGGGCTGGGGTAGCCCCAAACCCTAAGCTCTACACTCCTAACCGCCAAGAATTGGTCAGGTGGGACGGAGGCAACACCGTCCTAACCCCTAAACCTTAATTAGACTCACTCTGAATCCGGCTCACAAGCAACCGGCAGGATTGGAAACCGTTCCCTGATGGATACTGACCACTCCGCGAAGAAATACTTGATCATCGACACAGGCCGTGCCATGGTGGTTGTGGTGTTCGGTTTTGTTCTTCTGTTGTTGTTGTTGTCGTGGTTGTTGTTGTTGTTGTTGTTGTTGCTGCTGCTGCGCTGCTGTTGTTGTTGTTGTTGCTGTTGTTGTTTTTGTTGTTGTCGTTGTTGTTGTTGCTGTTGCTGTTGCTGTTGCTGTTGCTGCTGCTGTTGCTGTGCTGCTGCTGTGCTGCTGCTGCTGCTGCTGCTGCTGCTGCTGCAGCGGCTGCGGCTGCTGCTGCTGCTGCTGCTGCTGCTGCTGCTGCTTCTGCCGCTGCCGCTGCCGCTGTTGCTGCTGCTGGTGCTGTTGCAAATGTTGTTGCTTTTGTGGTTGCTTATGGTGTTGGTTGCTGTTGCTATTGCTGTTACCGTTTCTGTTGCTGCTGTTGCTGTTGCTGTTGCTGTTGCTGCTGCTGTTGCTGTTGCTGTCGCTGTTGCCGTTTCTGTTGCTGCTGTTGTTTTTGCTGTTGCTGTTGCTGTTGCTGTTGCTGCTGCTGTTGCTGCTGCTGTGGTAATGGTGGTGGTGGCGGTGGCGGTGGTGGTGGCGGTGATTTTTGTCGTCGTCGTTGTGGTTGTCGTCATTGTTTTTGTTGTTGTGGTTGCTGTTGTGGTTGCTGCTGCTGTTGCTGCTGCTGCTGCCGCTGCTCTTGCGTGTTTGCCGTTGCTGCTGCTGCTGCTGCTGCTGATGCTGCTGCTGCTGCTGCTGCTGCCGCTGCTCTTGCGTGTTTGCAGTTGCTGCTGCTGCTGCTGCTGCTGCTGCTGCTGCTGCTGCTGCTGCTGCTCCTGCTGCTGCTGCTGCCGCTTTGGTGCTTTAGGGTTTAGTCGCGATTCAGGGGCTTCTGAGCTGTAGGGTTTAATGTCCGGGCTTTGGCTGCAAACCAAACGCCCAATAACCGTTTTAATTGGTTGACCTGATGGCATCGAGCTACTTGGTGCAGGCACGACATACTTCACTGCGCCGGACTCCATCTACGATGCTGTGATGGCGCAGTTTCCAGAGGTCCAGCTACGTAATCTGGTGTTCATGCAAACTACGGTGTATACTTCGAGTCTTACACACTGCACAGGTTGGGCTCCAGGGGTACTGAGGGTACTGGTTGACTGCATGAGGCTAGTAATCGAGGGCGGTGTGTCAGGGTACGAGTTGATTGTTTTGCCGCATGAAAGGTTTTGGGTTTACGGTTTAGCACCTCCTGTTGCCTTAAATCTCAGCGTCGAGAACCAGACAGCTGCGAAATACAGGAAGTCAAGTAAGGAGATCAGGCATAGTGTCAGAATCCGACAAGAGGATTCGCGTGAAGAGCCCCAGTGAGAGCCGATTGTCAAATCAGATCGCTGCATCACTGTCAAGCACCGGTGCGGGCTTGAGCCCCGGCAATCCGGACTCCTAGTGTAAAGCCTTTGGGAACATGAGCACCGAGAGCCTAGGATTCAGGGGCGTCACGGTTTTCCGGCTTAGGGCTAAGGTTTAGCCCGTAAGTTGGAGACCAGCATGCTCGACAACCAGCACTGATGGTCGTCCAAGGTGTAACAGCCCCGCCTTAGACCTAAATAAAGCCTCAACCCTAAACCCTTAAACCTAAACCCTAGACCAACTCCAAAGCCTGAACTGTTGAAATTTCAGGGTTTTGGGTTTAGGGTTTTGGGTTTTAAACGGGTTTAGGATTTAGGGTATTTAGGGACTGGGATAATTTCCGGTCCCGGTTCAAGGCCGAACTATAACTACACCATTACCCCAAGGATCCAAAGGACGTAATTATCAAGTACTTGGGTTACGGATAGTTCGTATTGAGGAGAGTATATAATTCTCAGGTGCTTCGACCCTTTAGGGTTAAATCACGATAGGGAGCAACCCAAAAGCGCATCAGACACCCTCTGAAAGTTTGAGACGCCAAACCGATGCAACCCGTTCGAGCATCGACTGATAGCCCGTCACCGGACTCAGTAGGAGTGTAGGTTAGACAGCTGTATGTAGAGTTACAACAAGCTACTTGCAACAGCAAGTGTAACATCCATGAAGAAACTAATTCCTAGACCCTAAACCGCAAAATCCCCGAAGATTCTAAGCCTTAAAACCTTGATTCCTGAAACCCGAATGAAACCCAAGCCGGACAACTGATACTGACCTCCGATGCATCCTCTAGGACCTCCTTCCCAAACCCCAAACCGACCTATAATCTCCGTTGTAGTTCCTTTTCTGGGTTACCTTATTGGATCCTAAATCCTAAATGTTAAACCACAAAAAGGAACTACCATGGAGACTCTGGGCAAGCCCAGATGAGGGCCTAACTCAATGCAAGGTGCCCTGCTCCCAAGCCGAAGCTTACCCGCCCCTCACCTACGTCCTGCGGAGTGCGGGGCTGAGATTGGCCATGTTGCAAGGCCTCTTGTAGCACTTGTTCGGGCTTCTATGGTTCTATAAATAGGGCCTATATTACTCCGAAACCCTAAACCGTAAACCTTAAAGTACTTCAAAAACCCTAAACCCTAAACCCTAAAACCCCAAAGCCCTAAAACCCTAAAGCCATAAAACCCTAAACCCTTTATCGTTTGGGTTTTTTTGCGGATTTGAGGAAACAGGGCTCCGGCTTTAGAGGTCTCCCGCGGGTTTGATCGGATGGCTTCAGGGGTTTAGGCTTTGTCGGGGTTTGAGGGTTTAGGAATCTTTAGGGCTTTAGGGGTTCAGGATCTTAAGGCTTTATAGGGTTTAGGACCTTGAGAGCTTTAGGGTTTAGGATTTTAGGAGGGTTAGTTCGAATAGAAGTGTAGTTCCGTTTGGGTTAACCTTTTTGAAGGCTGGGAGTCTAATTGCGTTTGTAAAGTTGGTTAACTCAAAATCAGGAACTACAATGGAGAGTATGGGAAGTGCTCAAGATCCGACAGAGTCTCAGGAGCTTGCTCCCAACCTATATGGCACAGTACCCAGTGAAACCCTCGACACGCACGAGGGGTCTGCAGGTGGTGACAAGGAGACGTACGACCTAGAAGTCAAGCAAGAGACGTGCCCGAAGGGAGGGGGTGGGGGGGCGGGGGCCTGAGCACTGCAAAGGTTTGTCCGTAAATGGGGTTGACTAACTTCAGGGTGCACTTACGGTTTGGGCTTACGCTTCCGAAGGTGTTTGCGCCCCTTTGGAGCTTTCTCAGCGGTTCCTGCGCATGAGTGTTTGCCATTGTAGGTCGTATACTAGTTGGTTGCAAGGGCCGACATATACAGTATGTAGACTGCCCTAAGCCCTAAATCCCATGACAAGCACGATCCCATCGTGTCCATATTGCTTATACAACATGGTCGAACTGTAGCCCAAAACTCTTGAGCATGTTAAGCCCTATAAACCCTAAACCCAACACCCTAAACCCTAAGCCCTAAACCCCTGCCTGCCTGCCTGCCTGCCTGCCTGCCTGCCTGCCTGCCTGCCTGCATGGCAAGTGAGCACATAAGTTCAGTCAGTCCGTGGGCAAGTAAGTTGTGCCTGAGCAAGCGAGCAAGCGTTTACATTATAAGGTTATAGAGCCAAAGAAAACGCAGCGCGAATGCGGTACAGGATCCCAAACCCCACAACAAACCAGCAACGAACTTGGCAGGTACATGGTCGGCGATGATGCCAACTTCTGCGTCCCTGCCTTCATGAAGCTGGATGTCAAGAAGCAGTGCCCAACAGATCTTGTGTTATGTAGGATCTACTTCTCAGGAAGCGTTTTTCCGACAAACGTTCCCGGTTGTCCCCCTTCCTTCCCTCGAAACCTCTATCAAACCGATACACTGCAACCCAAAACCCTAAACCCCAAAACCCTAAACCCTAAACCCCGATACACCCTCAATCCTTCAAAATCGAAATCGCCTGGGAGCCTGGTACACCCCAAACCCGACCAAACCTGCGCTGGACGCTGAGACCCCCCGCTCACCCCTAAAGGTTAAGGGTTTAGGGTTTAGGTTTTGGGGGTTTAGGGATATGGGGGTTTAGGGTTTAGGGCTTAGGGGTTAGGGTTTAGAAGTTTAGGGGGTTTGGGGTTTAAGCCCATACACCGGAAGCTCTTAGAATGCAGCAAAAACCTCCTGGAAGACTCTGCAACCCCAGCGCCGAAGGCCCTTAAAGAGCCCTACCTATAGTCTCCATTGTAGTTCCTTTTTGTGGTTTAACCAGTTTTATTATCTTAAGGATCCCAAAAGGTACCCCCAAAAAAGGAACTGCAATCGGGGATTGTAGGTAAAGCTCCAAAGCTAAATGCGTGATGGGATGCAGGGTGAGGGGAGAAGGTCTTTAAATCCCTTAGGGTTTAGGGTTTAGGGTTTAGGGCTTAGGGTCCATGTACACAAATAGTATAATATACATTGGCCCCAAAGTACCTATATAGGGACTACTTTAAGGCCAAAGTATATACTATTTGGGTACATGCACCCCTCACAAAATTCCTCTCCGCACCCCTTGACGCGAAACCCCGTTGAAAGCAGAAACTTGGGCCCTGAAGGTTTCAGGGCTTCGGGGCTTAGCCTTGTTGAGGAACCTCAACCGTTTAGGGTTTAGGGTTTAGGGGTTTAGGGTTTAGGGGTTTAGGGGTTTAGGGTTTAGGGGTTTAGGGTTTAGGGTTTAGGGGTTTAGGGTTTAGGGACCCTCCAAGAAGATAAGCCCTCAAGAGGTACGGCCCCGCCCTGATCCTTGGGGAGGCACGGGTTGCAGAAAATTTCGGGACGATTGCGCTTTCCTTCCCAAAGGCTCCATGTATTCATGCAATGTACTTAGGCCTTCAAGGTGTTCCCACATAGTTACTTGAATTATCTACTTGGACCCTACGCCCTAAACGAGCCCTAAACCCTAAACCCCTAATGTAGGAACCTGATTAAGACATCTTGGTCCTACAACCCCAAAGCATTAGCATCCACATAAAGAACCCTAATAAAGACCCA